ATACTGGGCAGCCTCTTGTCCCGCACACCTCTTCTTGGAAAATACCAGTCCCCAGTGCTCTCCCAAGGCTCTCGCGCGCTCGGCAGGGTCAGACACGGGAACGCCAGAAGAGTCCAGGACAGCCGTCAACGCGATGCGCTTGCCAATCAGCGACAAGAGACGGGCCGTGCGCTCCAGAGCACTAGCATGGACGCGCAGGCGATGAGACTCGCACTCGCACGCGCGACGCTTGCTGAGCTCATCGCGCCGAAGATCCAGGGCCTCGTGCTGCGCCCTGCCAGGGCACTCTCGGAAAGACGGCGGGTGTCGCAGAACCACCCCTGAGCCCGCGATCTGGACGCGGTCGGCCACCACCTGGTGGGATTCCAGCGTTTCGCGAGCAAGTCGGATATTTTGACGCCAAATCACGCGAGCGATCATTCGCGCCACCTGCATCAAGGTCGACAACGAGTGGGGTTTCGTTATGAATAGTTGACCCCGAGTCTCTGCTCCAGCGATCCCCACCAGCTTCTTGTATAATCCGATCTGAAAGGGCGGGGGCACAGAACCCCAGTCCGTCGACCCCACTCGACCTCTCAAGCGGACACAATAGGCAGGATCTATACATGTGCGCTCGGGCAACGGGCGCTGCGAGGAAAGGCGGGGGCGACGAGGGCGAGAGGCACCGCCGCCGGAACGCGATCAGCAATACAACGATCGGAAACTTCTTCAGCTTTCCCGACTGTCGACGTCGAGGTGCGAAGCTGGCACGCTCGCCACCCCGCAAGCGAGGAAAAGAAGCGGTCGGTGGCGACAGCAGCACCACGCCCACGCTAATAGCGCGTAGGCTCGCTGAACTCGACTTCGAGCATCGAGCCCGAGACTTCGCGCCACCGCGCAGCTCGCGCGTGGCGACGGCGAGCACTCCGCCGAACTGCAAGCTTGGGCACCCGCGATCAGCGCCTCGTCAACCGAGAAATTGAAGTCGCCGTTGACCACCGCCAGGCGCCTGTCAGGCGACGCCGCGGCCGCGGCCAGCTCTCGCTTGATAGCGAGACCAACCGTTTGCACCTCGTGCACAGTCAGCCCATGATTGTGCACACTGAAGACTGCGAGGATGGATCCAGAAGAAACCAAAGAGACTTGAAGGACACGACCAGGTGCAAGAGCCACGTTGCCCACCCACTCAGGTTCTCCAGCTACCAGGGCAAGTCGAGGAATCAAAATCGCAGACCCTCCCTTGATCTTGTCAGCACGCCCCCCGCCACAGAAGCTCGCGACCAACGTCGCGCCAGGGGTTGCCGCAACCAAAAAAGTTTGCAGCTGGACACTAACCTGATGGACCTCTTGCAAAGATCGCAGTATTTTGAGGGCGCACTCGAGCCAGGTAGCCCCCCTTCAGGCTGGCCTTCTCCCCAGCAGCCTGCAACAGGCCCGCGCATTCCACGCCGCAAGACGTAGCACTCCGTGAACTTCAACAGGTCGAGGAAGACAGAGGGTAAACAGCTTGGCCGCGCTAGAGACACCACGTCGGCTGGCTCATGGCCTGAGCGATCTCCTTCCTAACTCGCAACATCGAATCCTCCGGGGGACCAGGCTTCTGAAGCGCATCCTCATTCCACAAGAGCTCGGGAGGCGTCTCGCGCCCAGCATGGACACGCACTTTGAGGAACTTGTCCCACTGAATGGACAGCACACCGAGATCGCGATCCATGAACACCCGCGCGGCAGGCCCGCACTCGGCCGAAATTGCCTCACGGCAGCGCCTGAGAGCAATCTCAATCTTGATCTGCATCGGATTCTTGTCGGGGCCCACGTGAACACGCGTGGTAGCAGCAGAACCTGGCACGTTGCAACATAATTCTTTCCAGACGTGACCATCTTTGGGCCCGCTAAGGGCCCGCGAGATTTTGCGCGCCGCAGGCTGTGGAAGACCTGAGAAGCCCACGGGACATCGCTTGGCAGGGACCTGACCAGCAGCTTCAACTTTGCACTCCGACGCCTCGAAGCCCAACTTCGACAGGAAAGCCTCCACGCACTCCGAGACCGCCTCCACCGTCGCCGGTCTCTGGCAGACAGCCACGCGGACCGTGGGGTCGACATCGCGAGAGAAACCAGCTGGTGGCTAAGCGGGCGGAGGCGTCCGCTCCTCAGCAACGGCAAGAACTTTCCTGAACTCCTCCAACTCCTGACGCAGCTTCGCGAAGTCCACGTCAGTACCATCTGCTCCAACACCGAGACACGATTTTTATCATGGTCGATCTGCGTCTGCGTCTCTCGGTGAAAGGCGTCCAGTTGTGGTCTAACAGCACGTTAGACTTGTCGATCCATAAATTGCGAATGGTTGGAAACTGATTTGCGCAAGAGGTCGATGGCAGCAAGCAAGTTCAAGTGGTTGGCACCGACAGTCTGGCCGAGCGCGACACTGATGTCCGCCGTGAGGGACTCGCGCATGCTCGCGAACTTCGCGTGGCAGAGCTCGCGGGGGTATTCCACAGGATACTCGTCATCAACATCCAGACCATCAGCAAGAGGACCCTCGCCAGCAGGCCGACGCCTCTTGAAGGAAGCACCCCCTTTCCCTTTGCCGGCGGCAGCCTCGGCTTTACCATCATCACCAACGCGAGGTTGATGCCATCAAGGAGGGCATGCTGCGCGTTCGGGTCGGCGACTCCCATGAGCGAGACTGAAACGCTCGGAAAGGCAGGACCGGGAAACGCCTCCGTCTACCCACCGACACCAACGTGGGTGCGGAAGAAGACCCTGCCAGACTTCAAGAAGTCATGCTAGCCGCGGACTGGCGGTATCCACTTCTTCCCCTGCGGAACCATGCATCTTGAGCCAGAATGGCTGCGGAGGAGGAGGAGGAGGAGGAGAAGGAGGCGGAGGCCACCAGGACTTCCCGCCAGCGACGGGGACTCCGCCATACGCCAGGCCTGAAGCCTCTCACGGTCCCCCACGGCCCCCCCCCCCCGGCCGCCGCTCTCGCCAGGCCGTCGCGCCATCTCACTCTGGGCGCGTGCCGCCTACCTGATCCACCCCATGTCAGTCACCGCCCTCCGACCCGCCCTCGGACCCCGGGGACTGCGGAAGAAGGCCCCTCCCTGGGCCGACACGCTGACAGCGGGCCAGTGCCTCACATTATCGAGCACTGCGTTCCCTGCCACGTGCCCTTCCCAGGACCACGCGACTAACTGTAGCATACGGCTTCTATGCCCTCAAGTTCTGCCTTGACGACACTATCGGCGCCAACCACAGCGTTACGGGCGTGATGGTGACGCACGCCTTCTTTCAACGTCTCACTACGTCAACGGACGACGCCCATCACCGACGCCTGTCCTGGCTTGACGCCTTCAACCACCGCTGGGGCCCGACGTGCTACGACGACGTCTTCGTCCGACCCTGTACTCCGACGCCGTCTGTAGACTGACCGCCGGTTTGCTGCCTCCTGGCGGCACCAGCCCCATGTTCCATGCTGCCTCTCGGCGCCGCTGCCATGAGCACCGTTTTCCACTGCAGTGTTGCGTCTGCCCCTTCGGGTGTGCGCCACAAGGTGCGTTGCCCGAGAAGGGTCAGGACCAGTCCACCCTCCTCCCTCCTACTCATCCACTAAGCTGGTCAAGAGTGTGGCGCCCCCACCAACACTTGGGGGCTGCCCTGAAACGGGCGCATCCCGCCGCTGCCTCTCGGTGTGGTCGCGCCTGAAGAGCGCCATATCCCCTTGCTCCTTCTCTCCCCTCCTCCTCCTCAACCACCTCCTCCTAGTCCGCTCCTCCTCCTCCTCGTCGTCTCATCATCATCATCATCATCATCATCATCATCAGCATCATCATCATCATCATCATCATCATCATCATCATCATCATCATCGTCATCATCATCATCATCATCATCATCATCATCAGCAGCAGCATCATCATCATCATCAGAATCAGCATCGTCATCATCATCATCACCATCACCATCACCATCACCATCATCATCATCAGCAGCAGCAGCATCAGCA